CTCAACTGCGTATCAAATACATGCACATACACCCACACACGCACAAACACGTACACACTAACATATAAACGCAAACACTCGCGCATGCGCAGACCGCCCGCACGGCCCTGGACATCATGCGGAGCTTCCAGGACACGCAACGGGAGATCCTTGCCGGACCCAACCGTTCGGGAAGGGGGGGGAGGGGGGAAGGGGGTTTGGAGGGCAGGGGGGAGGGGGGGGTGGCGGGGGGCCGGCCCATGTCCCTCGAGATGGCAGTAGCCTTCCTGAATAACAACTTGACGTGCTACGATGAGAGCCTGGAGTTCGCGGAGGACGTGCAGGTGGGGGTGCCTGTGTGTGTATGTGTGTATGTCTGTTTGTGTTTGGTGGGAGATGTGGGTGGGGGGAAAGGGTATGTAAGTATTATATATATGTATATATGTATCCTTGATGTGGGGGCCGGGAGTGAAGGTGGTGTGGGAGCTGTTGGTTTATTATGTGAGTGCGTTAGGGAACTTTTGGCGCAAAGATGGAGGGAAGGGGTTTGTTTGTGTGTGTGTTTGGGGAGAGGGGGTCGTTTGTGGAGAGTAGAAGAGTGTTTTCTCTCTCCTTCTGTATACCTGTCTGTATACCTGTCTCCCCTTATCCATCCCGCCATTTCCCCCTTCCCCCTTCCCCTCCCCCGCTACAGCGCCAGCTCAGCAAGGCCTACAGGGAGCGACTGGATGTGGAGGACGTGTGCCGGGGGTTCCTGGACGTGGCCAAAGTACGGCAGTATGTGTATGGGGTGGGGGGGGGAGAGGAGAGGGGGGGAAGGACCGGGTACATGCGCATGTGTTTTTGTTTATGAGCTGAGCCGCGAGGTGTATGTATGTATGTGTATCGCCACCTCCCCACACACCTCCCCCTCCACACACACACTCACTCACCGGCTATCATTAAATCGTCATCTTCCCCACCTTGCTTCGCATGACTCACTGGGCGCTGTTGGGTCTCAGTCGTTAGCTTGAGTGGGTGTGAATGTGTGTACATGTGTAGAAATAATTGTGCTTATATGTGTGTATGTGTATGTGTGAACGCGTAATACCGTAAATTGGACTCTGTGTTTCCCCTCTTTTTTCTAATTTCGCCGCTGTCATGGCCCCGTGGCGTACGGCAATCCACATGCCGTACATATACAGTTGGCGAGTCAACGGGCTGTGCACATCATGTTCAACGACCCGGGGCTGTCCAGTCAGGTCAAGAGGCTGTACGGCAACGGCAACGTGGACTACCTTAACGGTGAGCCGTACAAAACCAAGCGAGGGGGAAGGGGATGATTTACAAACAGGGGGGCACTTGAAAGGAAGGTCGAGGGGGTGACGGTGTGTATGTGCGTGTGCGTGTGCGTGTTTTGAGAGTGTGAATATCAGGAGTTTGGGTTTTTTTTAGGCAGACGTACGGCCGTTCCTGGCGGCTTTGTGTTGTTGAGATAGAGCCAGCCAGGTTAGAAGGTGAGGGGGGGAAAGGATGGGGGGGGAAGAGAAGGGATGGGGCCTCCAGGGGGGTGGCGGAACGGTGATGCCAACCACCGCGCGTCCCATCCCATCCCGGCCCTCCCTCGCTCACTGAATGAACGAATGAATGAATGAATGCTTCAGTTAATTGGTTTTCACCAGGACAGGACAGGAATGTACTGGTGTCGTACCGTAATTGCTTGCCACGTCTTGCCACGCCGTCGTACAAAGCACCACACCTTCTCTTCCTCGCTCTCTTTCACCCCTCAAAAACACGCCGTCACCCACAGGCCGTACCACCGCCACCCTCATCGCCACCCTCCGCGACTACTTCTCCGACTTCAAGGTGTGGGTCGCCCCGCCGTACTTGAGGCGGCTGGCGGAGGCGGCTCTGGAGGAGCTTGTACGGCGAGCTGTCAACATGTTCACCGTGGCGCCTCCGCAGGTGGCCAGGGGGTGGGGGGTTGGGTGGGTGGGGCTATAGGTAATGGGGGGCCCTATAGGTAGGCTAGACTTCGCGAATCGCGACTTGTTACTTGTACGCTTCTAACGTACTTCTTCTGGTGTATCAGTCTATATCCTCCTTGGCATCGACTTCACTCCTTCACGTGGTTCGGCTCTCCCCTCCCTCTCCCCTCCCTCCCCTCTCCCTCTCCCCTTCCCCCTCCCCTCCTCCTTCCCAACTGCTCTCAGGCTACGGAGGCGCTGGCGAAGCGGATGGCGGACGACGAGGCGGATCTGATGACCTACTTCGAGAGCTACGTGAAGCTGGACCGGCTGCACCGCCACATCAGCGTCCTCGCGGATATGCGGGAGCTCATGACGGCGGACAGGTGCGGGAGCGCTCGTGCTTGTGTATGGTGTGTGCGTATGTAGATACGTGTGTTAGTGTTAGGTGTTAGGAAGGTGCGATGGATGCCTCTCACCTAGCAGCGCCATGTATGGGTTTGGGTGTGTGCTTGAACTAACTGAGCTGCGAAACGGTAACAAGGATTGGGGGTACCACGCTCTTCTTATTTTGCGGCTGAAGGCTTCATGGCTGTTGAAGACTACTTGAGCCATCCACCTCTCTCCCCAACTGGTCGGTCGGTTGGTTGGGTAGTTTCGGTTGGTTGGGTTGGGTTGGTAGGGTTGGTTACCCCCTCCTCCCTCCGCCTCTGTCTCCCCACGGCAGCACCGAGACCTTCGCTCTGGCCTACTCGAACCTGCTGACCACCCGCCACACGGCCTTCACGCTGGAGGTCGTCAACAAGATCCTGACCAGCTGCAGATCTGACCTCACAAAGAAACAGGTACGGCACGGTACGGTACATGGGTGGTTCGTACGGTATATGGGTGGTGGTGGTTGCGGGTGGAGCGTGGGAGTACTGGTTCGCTGTCGTGTTTTCCTTTTTTGCTGGGGAGTGCGCCTGAGGAGGGCACCGCATTCGTCAAAGCTTTCGCAGTGTGTGTCCCGCCTCTCATCCCCCGTCGCTGCGAAACACCCCAACATATGTCAGCGTGTGTGTTTGTGTTTGTGTTTTTGAGAGAGAGAGAGTGTGTGTGTGTCTGTGTTTGCGTGTGTGTGTTGGTGTGCGCCTAAAGACTGCACTGTGCTGTGCGGTCGCTGTGTTGTTGTTCAGATCTCCGACATGACAGCCCACTGCAAGGATCTATGGCGGCAGCGGGAGGTGGCGAGGAAGGCGGCAGGAGGGGATGCGGAGAAGCAGCAGCAGCATAAGGACGCTGAGGGCTGGGGGGCTTTTTTCGGATGGGGAAAGAAGCAGCCGCAGCAGCAACAGCAGCCGTCATCATCATCACCACCGCACTTGCCGCAGTCCAAGCAATCATTGCCACCACAACAACAGCAACACCAACACCAACAGCAACATGGACAGCAAGAGTCGAAAGAGAAGGGCCAGGGCAAGGAGCAGTCACCGCCACCGCTGCCCAAGGAGAGGGAGAAGGCCAAGGAGCAGCAGGAACAGCAACAACAGCAAGAGAGACAGCAGACTAAGGATAAGAAGTTAAAGGAGAAAGAGAAGGATATGTCACCGAAGGAGGAGCAGCAGGAGCAGCAGCCCATTATTAAGGACACTAAGTCCAGGGGGAAGGAAAAGGGACAGGAGGCGGCGCCAGGAGCGACAAAGCCCTCATCCAAAAAAGTTGGCAACAAGGCCTGACGGATGCATGGTGTGGGTGGTGTGATGAGGGGAACAGCGTCCCCCTCGAGGTTGATTTGGTTGGTTTTCGTATATGCCTCATAATCGTCACCTGATTAAAACAGGAGTATTGGTCGTGGGGAGGCGGAAGGGGACTGAAGAAGGGAGGAGGGAGGGTGGGAGGGTGGGAGGAGGGACAGCAAAGCACACTCATGTGTTAAGCCCTGCTCCTGCAGGCGCAGGCTGTCCCGTACTGCAGTAAGGCGATATTCACACATGTTTCATTTATCCAATGGTTCAAGTGACGTATGACCCTTAAAACACTTAGCGTGTACTGCAGTACTGCAGGCGGTGTATGCCGTTGTCGTACCGCAAGTTGTAAGGTGGAGGGAGAGGGGGGTTGAGTGATTGGGGGGACTTAGGGTTGTCTAAACAATATAAAAAATGCCTGAATGCACGTGTGTATGTATGTGCAAATGAACCGGACCCTCTGCTTGGCTATTATGTGGAAACATAACATACAAGGGAGAGGAGTGTGTGTGTGTAGAGAGAGGATGCGGGATTTCCTGGATCACGCATCAACTTCGTGTACGACCACCCAGGTGGGGCCGGGGGGGCGAAGGAGCATGCAGGGCACGTCCACTAATGCCTACATACAGTAACCGCAGGATCATCACCTCCCGAGTTACTAGGCCTAGGCTGGGGGGGTATCTGGCCGAATACTAAGAAGCTCACGAGTGGGTGAGAGGAGGGAGCCGCCTGGCCCCGGACCCTGGGGAGCTGTGTTGAGCCAGATCGTGAAGGTTTGGTCTCGTACGTTGCACCAATTGTCTTTACTAGGACTAGCAGCACTCTATGTTCCTGGAGCTCGAGGCACGGCTTATTGTATCCGCATGCTAACTAGGCTGGTAGTCCCTACCGTCAAACAACCCATTTCCCTGAGGACTCACAAACTTGTTTGCCAAGGACCCGACAATCAGCAACTTCAGGTTTGACATCCTCTCCTGGCTTTAACTGTGTGCTGGAGAGCTGAGGCTATATCGCCAGGGAGGCTCTTGGCCTCTTAATACCCACCGTGTTGAAGTGCACTGCGCTTGGCAAAGAGTGTTGCCAACGAGAGCCTCTCTGCAACAACTATTACTACTAGTAGTACTACATAAACGAGGGATAAGTACCATTGCCTTTATGTTAAAAAGCCAGCAGCAAGGGGCGGCAGGAAGCCCAGCCAGTGCAGTCAGCACCACCTGCTGAGGCAACAGTCCTCGAACTGCCTTTTCATCCTGTGCCAGCAGGCACCCACTCCTGCCATTCTTTGTCGTACATGCGACCACACACACATGTAGAGACATGGAGCCGGTGCAGGCTCTGACAGCTCCGCGGCATTACTTCATGTCCACTTGACACATCTAATCCACCACAATACAAGTCGATTCCAAACATATGTCCAAGAACCCCTGACTTGATGTGGGTCAGCCAGCTCCATTTCGGTGCAGGGTAAACAACCCTTTCCTCCAGGCCATGCAACAAGAAGGGGGGGAAGTCATTCCCATTAGTGGAGCAACAAGCCCAACGTTCAACATCCCATGTTTACTTATTTGAGGACTGCTGCAAATGTGGCTGATTCCGCAAGCCTGCCCCATCAACTCTCACTACGAGAAGAGGCCCAACATTACTGGCCTTGCTGCTGCTGCAGCTGCCTCTTGAGGGCCTGCTCCTCTTCTTCCATGTCCTTTGCCTCTTGCTCTGAGGCCATCATCTCCCGCTCCATGTCCTTCAGCTTCTGACTCCTATCCAGATCTACCTTACAGGCCTTCACCCACTCGTCCGCCAGCGTTTTAAGTGCATCACTGCCCCGCTCAGCCTGAGCTGCGACCTGGGAGATGTCTACACCAGGGTACAGCACGTCGTGCAAATAGGCGAAAACCTGCAGGGCCAAGGGGATGTCGGGGGAAAGTTCAGTAGCTGGTTGCCGAAAAGGCCTCTTGGTGGAGGTGCTGGAGGCATACTTCAGTGTGCATATATTCACCGAGTGTATGCCGCACTGTACAATAGGCCATCCCTGTTAAACAACTGCCTTCACCGGGCCCATACGTTGCAGCATATCAACTCGAAACACTTTTATCTATGCAACCAAATTACAACCAAATTTGTTGGAACATTTTCATGAAGTACATCTCCTATCGTCATGAAGCCCCAGGAAGACGACATCCGGAACACACAACATCCATCACATGCATCCCACTATGCAGCCGAGCGCCCTATCTGTAAAAGAACTGCCCTCCAAAGTTCGGCCTCACCGTAGCCTTTGGACTCTCGCGTTTGATGAATGAATACATGAGGTCACAGAGGAAGCTTTTGCAAGCAAAGAGGCGGAACCGGTAGCCACATGCCCGGAACTCGTTTCGAGTGGGCCGGGGAAGTCCTTGTTTGCTGATCTCTCCAACCAGCTGCACAGAGGCGAAATACCACTCCTTTCCATCCGTGAGCAGCACCGTCACCGGATCTTTCTTGCCATTCAGGATCGCCAGCTCTATAGCTGTTGCCATGGGCTGCCATATGTCATATCCAAAGATAATATGCTTAACCGGCTCCACCAGCATCACTACCTTGTAGCCTTTCTCCATAGCTGTCTCCAGATCGACATTCCGTGATGCCCTCATTTCCGGGGGATGCACGGAGGACAACAAGCTGCGGACGACCTGCAGGATCCCATCACATGCACAAAACGACACATGACAAGCTCGACCTGGAAGCCAGGGGTTAAACACGAAATATGCCAGCAGCCAGGAACTTCCTAGCCCCCGTCTGACATGGGTAACACCAGCGCTCCTTCAACACCAGCAATTAATACTCCATATTCAAGAAGGGGAATGTCTCCTGTTGCTCATCCGGGTCCGCCCATGGAGGGTCCGTTTCACAAGTTGTTCACTAAAGCAATGGAATGCTAAACTACCAAACTCTGTGAGGAAGAGTACATGTGCCGCGAGCCGGGCAGGTTGTAGGAGTGGCATCAGCATGATTTGCAGGTGGCGGATAGCCCAACCACGAATGGCATGGCTGCACCATTTGCATACCCTGAGGCATCTCATCTCCAGGCATGGGTTAGCTCACACCGAGCCGCTTATTGAGATGCAGATAGGCTTAAATAATAAATGTAAGATAAATCGGTGATTTGGTGATGGGATCACCCCCTAGTAAGGGAACGCGTATGGCGTGGCTCGCTCACACCGGGGCTGCCTTGTCGCAGCTTTTGTATCTAATGCAATCCACGACTCGAATGGAGAAAAGCTGCGTATTACTTTGGCCGAGGCCCCACCTAGCCATCAGCAGTTAAGAGGTTTCAGGCTCGGTTTTCAGCGCAGGCGAACGGAGGAGGACGACCATGTCCCATTGCTAGGCACCAAAAAACACAACGAGTGCCCAAGACACCCCCGTCTGCCACGAACACCCCCGTTATGCGGAGCTTGTAACTTGGAATGGACTGCTGAAAACCTAAAAGCGCAGAGGTTGCAACTATGCTCATGGACTGGGTTCATTCGCACAGCCTAGCCAGTCTACATCCCAGTTTGCACCCTGCCATGCAGGCAGCTGCCTGCAGGTGGCACTCACCGTACGGCGCAGATTTCCTGTATTCCTCCGCCCATTCGTCCTCCCACCGCTGTTCTCCTTCATCGGACGAGGCCTCTTCAAACAGATCCGCGTCCAGATGTGCAGACTCGTCGGCAAATGGATCATCAGTGCCTGAGGACCAAGAAAATGGCGTTAGGAAGCACGATAGTGCACATTGATGGCGGCAATAAACAGGCCCCCACCGGCTGGCAAGATGACCAGTGATCCTGGGCCTAAACTTAGCAGCGCCAGTTTGGACAGGATTGTGTAGAGGAGGAGGTACTGGGGCTCGTCCCGATCGCGTGGACGGAAAACGGTAATGTTGAACATAGCTATGGTCTCGCTAAGGAACTCCACAAGGAACTTCAGACCAGCAGTATCATATGTTTTGGGAACTCGGTCGGCGAAGACAGAACTTGCGTCAAACATGCTGCTCTCAGAAAAGGGAAAGTTTCGGGAAACTTCCATGGCCGATTGAAAGGCGTCCTCGCTTGTTATGCGATTGATTCCGACACGTGAGATCTTTTCGCTTTTCTGGGATGCGAGCTCGCTCTCGCTAGGCCTGTTGCTCATGGCGTCTTTAGCACAACTGAAGCGCTACCCGGCGCAAAAACTGTCAAATGTCTTGTTATTCCAAAACATTAACATACAACCTGATGATTTTATGCGCAATCGGCTTGGTACGACCTTGCATAGCGTAACGGATAACTGTAACCTAACCGTGAAAATGCACGTTTGCCGAGACCAGGACACCGGGAGCAGACCTACTGGAGATCTCGCAAGGAAGCGATAAGATACTTCGCTATAATCTTATTGCTTGGCCATGAGGTTTGAGTGGCGCATCTATGCTACATGCACACCAACGAAGCGACTTGCATTTGCGACCGGGCATCGCCATCCTGCACGGCTCAGGGACCATTGTCTGAATGGACGTTGGTGGGCAATCGTGGGGAACATCGCTTGGGAGTTGCCCTGATGGTCGGAGTAGTATCACTTTCGCTAACGGAAAAAAGTTGATCCTCCGGCTTCACCAGACAGCCCCCCCCGTGTCACTCTATCCGTTTCAATGTCGTCGCAGCCGTGCTCCTTTATATCATCACCACTGTGTGTGTGTATTTCGGGGAAAGAACGGCCTTCAGTTTCAGTTTCCGGGACGCGTGTGCAGCACTCTGAACACACGGCAGCCAGGCTTCCGCATACATGTCAAAAAGGCACGACCAATTGCCCCCGGGATCGATACCTGTCAGGGTCGAAAATTCTTCCCATGGTGGAGGTAAATGTGCCCCTCGTCGATCGATGGTGGTGACCTGGGATAAAGTTGTCTTGCGAGCCGAACAGGAATCCGTTGGATGCTGGTGGTGGGTGCGGAGCCTGAGCGATCCACTGAGAAGTTGACTAGGGTGACTGGATGAGGGTGCCCCGAAATACCGGAGAAGGCAGGGTTTCGCAGGGTAGCTGCCACGGGTGAAGATATGCCCCCCTGTTCCACACATCATATATGCACAACTGTTACTTGTTTGTATTCATGTGGAGTACACAAAACCTTGGGATCCTTTAAGGCTTGGTGCAAAGTGGGAGGATACTGTTACCTGCCGGTGAGCCCCGAGACTGTGGGGACTGTATGTATGTTGTTACAGGGTGGTTAACTTCGCCAGCGGCCCCCTTTCCCTGCTCTCCCCTGCTAGAGGGGCACCCTAATCCGTCACCCCATCCGACTTCAGAATGTATTCGTTGGGTTCGGCAACTCACCACCAGCATCCAACCAAATCTAGCGGATCAACGGCGCATCAACTTAGTTCCTGGTCAGCTCGCAAGTTGATATTATCACGTCCTACACCGTCCATAAGATGGGGGGCCACCTTCCGTTTCATTACTCCTCAAACACCCGAGGAGCCGGCAGGCGGATTTGAACCCGGGTCGACTGGGTCGACTGGGAGCAGAAGTCAGGCCTTAACCTCTGCCAGCCGCCTGCCTATGTTTTCGACGTCTGTGGCCGAAAATGCGACGAGTTATGCCGTGGTAAAGTTAATGAGCAACTGCAATTTTCGCATAACATGATATGGCGTGTGAAACGGAGAACCCTACCAAGCACCCCCCCTTCTGCAAGGCGGTCCGGCCGGCAGCCAAGCGCTCCCTCCCTGGGAACGACTGGGCGGTGCGGCGTGGTGCAAGGAACCTTTGACCCCTCAGGTGGTGGGTGATAGCTGTGGTTCACTTTTTGGCATCCAAAGGAGCCCCGATGTGGCTGGTCATTACAGCACTGTGCTTCGCTGCCTTCCTGCGTTATGATGACTCGGGGGGCATGTTGGCATGGTTGTGATGTGCAGTTCCATGAGGAGGAGTTCCATGAGGTGGCGATCCATTCCTTGCCAAGCGCAAGATCGATCAGTTCCGGGAAGGCACCATGGCGTGTGTCGCGAGGGGCGGCAGGGAGGCCCGCCCGATGAGCCTTCTAGCACGGTATCTGCGCCTATCTGGTCTGAAGAGGACGGAACCGCTGTTCCAGGGTTTGGATGGCCAGGCGGCTCGGAGCGGGTAGTGCCGAACCATGGAGGGCGCGCTATCAGTTATGCACAGGCACGATATCATGTGCCAAGTGCCGTACCAAAGGTGTTGAGCATTAGCTACACGCAAGCGCAATCAGTGTTCAGGCTGCACAGCCGTCGCTTAGGGGTGCGACACCAACTGTGGCAGCGGAGCAGGGTGTCAACGAGCGTTCCTTTTCAGGCCCCAGGGGGCCCTGGCGCTCGCGTGAAGCCATGCTGGTGTACTTGGCCGACAGTGTAGATGGATGGTGTGGGTGGTGTGATGAGGGGAACAACGTCCCCCTCGAGGTTGATTTGATTGGGCTTCGTAAATGCCT